AATGGTAGTTTAAATCTATAAATTCTTAAACAATTGGAACTTCGGATCTTCGATCTTTATATTAAAAATTTTTCGACTCTAAATTACATTTTTAACTTTGAATCTAATAATTTAAAATTATCTACAACTTAAGACGTCAAATTAATTTTCATTAGGCTCTGCTTAATCAAAGTAAAACGGAAAGAAAATTTAATTGCGAGATACAGGAGTTACAAAAATATGAGAACCGCTGAAGTGCTCAGTTATTTGCAGCGAGATTTGCAAAAATGACTGTTTAATTATTATTGTACTCGAGCGCGTAGCGTGCTGTTATCGGATCGCGAATTATATTCGGTCGTTAAACTCCATTTCCAATATGGAGTGTGCATTCTGAAAATGTTCAGGGATCACTGGCTATCCTTAATAACCTGCAACATGGTCAACTCGCGTAATTAACGCCAATTTTATTTCGATGAATTTGTCTGGCATATTTGTCGAATAATTGCTGGCTCCTCTCCCGTATTTTACATCCATTTTGACGAATTAATTAATAATATATTATCGGTAATAAATAGGAGAGCATTGTGACACAAAATTTAATTAAGATAATAATGAATAAAGAACATTAATGAAACTTAAATAAATAGCAGTAAAAGTAGACAATAACAAAATCAAATAACAGTAGGACTGGGAGTTACATAAATACAATCGAATTGAAGGAATTAATAAACATAAATCTAAGTAAATGAGCATTTCGATGTGTCAATAATTATCTTTCCAATTTTCATCAAAAGCATTGTTTTGAGAAATAAAATAACAAGAGACCGCAAATATCAATAAATGAACTCAATTTGTTCTTGTTATCAATTCAAATGACGTTGTATTTGCATTTGTTCTCAAAAGAGAGAGATTGTGAATAAAATTATAATTAGTAATACAAATATTAGTCCATTTCCATCTACATACAAATATTACATGCATTTATATTTCGTCTTATTATCCAACAGTAACACTTTATGTAAATTTACTATATCAATATCTCCAAATTTTTAATTGTCAAAATAACAGGAATATGATTTACGATCATATTTTAACATAATAAAAGTTTCTATTAGAAATTTGTATATGGGGATTACGACGTGCGTCCTTCGCTAAATAATTGCTCGTTATTCTCGTCGCGCAAAAATCACGTCGGCGAAATGGCTTCCATCCGTTTGATAGTATTCGCGAAATGGGATACCTGTCTTTTTCGTTGGCTGGCTCATTGTTACAATAATTGGCTGTTATCCTTTGTCCTTTTGAAAAAAAAAAAAAAAAAAAACAGCTAACCAAAGTTTGTCGTCGCGCTCAATTATTTATTTACAT